TCACATAAATTCATGATTCCAGTGCCTAATTAAGTTTTGAGTACACTGAGTAAAACCCTTCTTTTGCATTTTGAGAGAAACTCAGGAAACTGAAATGACACCCTTCTTAATAGATTGGTCAACAGTTTTAGACATGGCTCTTACATTTTTCTTATGGATAACTATAGACAGTCTAGTTTAGTGAGTAAACAGTAAATTAAAACTTATAAAGAGAATAGACTATGAAAAAGTCAGGTATTCAACCTTTGATCAATTAAATGTTGGCAAAGAATATTGTGGGATTTACTCAGGACGCACTGAAGTATACAAGGATTGTCTCTAAATTAGGTATAATGAACTTAAAAGGGACAAATTTTCACAGATATTGAGTAATTTGTTAATCATTTGTGATTGTGTACTGGTAGAGGATCAATGAGTGAATTGCGGAGCAAAAGAATGTAATAATGGACATTTATTTAGGACAAAGTTTCTTGAAGCACTTAGCATAGTATTCACTATTCAGGATAAATTTTTCAGTAATACAGCAGTAACTTGAAAATAAAAGTTTTAAGGGTAACAGGAGCTGCCTTAGAAAATGCATCACATTATCTTGTAATTGTGCAAAACAATCCACATTCTCTATGGTTCTTTTATTTATTGCCCTGTGCCCAGTGGAAGTTGCCTCATGCAGTGTTATCCTCCATGTTAAACAATTCAAGCTTCTCAATTCTTTCGAGGACTGATACAACAATTATTACTGAATCGAGTATACAAGTAGGACAGATCAAAGGAGCTGATTTTGTTGTTTGTTGATTGATATATATCATGCTATAAAATAAATTCAGATGAGAGAGGGAGGTGAGCCGCTGGTTAATATTCTTAAAATCCAAGCGGTTCACACATTCCAGGTTTTTTCGGCATAGTGAAAGTAATTGAATACAAGACGTGCATTTTCGGTATACAATACTATGTACGACTGGCATAATTGTGTATTACGCGAGGCGTAGGCCTCTAGACGTTTGAGGCGTAAATATCACCATGAACTTAAAATGTCAAAATATTATTAAAATGCAAAATAAATGCATAATAAAACATAAAGCAATTTTCAAAATTCATAATATTACAATTTAAAGTGTGCTAAAAACAAAAAGAAAATTCTTTTAAGCAACAAAAAGCGAATATTACTATGCTATTCCCAAAGTGGATCTAGAGAAACAAATTTTTAATGTTTTTGCTAGAGTGACATGGGCCTTATCACATGTGCCCCCCTATTGGGTGGGCACCACATGTGCCTCCTGTTCGTTCAGGGCCCACGTGGCCCTGGACGAATAGCAAAACCCAATTTTTAATGTTAAAGTGGGGCATTTGGCTACTTCCAAAGTCGATCAATCAGAATTTATAATGTTTTTGGGGCTTATACTTAAAAGGAAAGTAAATACGTCAGGAAAACTGAAGAGTGCACACCTTAGAAGCCTTAGGTGGTTCTGTGAGGCACATAGGTTACTTAGTTTAGGCGTACGCCTCCAAAACTACTCTGCAATAAGTGCTTTGAGGCCTTTTTTTGGGCCTCAATCTGAGGCAGGCCTTAAGGCAAGCCGGGATTTCTTAAACCATGCTTACAAGACCTATCTATTCCTCCCAAACTAACATGCCCGAAAAGTCTTGTTATTTTGAATTTACCTTCTCGTGTTTGTGAACCCACCCTGGCTGGTAGAAGTGTAATGTGCAGTCCCTGGAAACTTAAATTTTACATATATTCTTGTGATCTCCCATTTTCAGTTGATAGTGTTAACCTGGGAAAAAATGTTTATCTGCATCGTTATTTGTTGGCTGACACAGGGGTTGATGGAGAACCATAAAGAAATTGTAGAATACTTCAACAGTAGAGGCGTTTCTGTCATATTTCTCTTCAGAAGAAATCTGTTACGCCGCATGGTTTCAGTACTTGCAAATTCCTTTGATCAATATGCAAAACTTCTGAATGGAACTCACAAGTCTCATGTGCACTCGCTTGAAGAGGTACCCCCGAATGTCAGCCCTTTTGAGCCCCAAGGGGCATGCATTCTTAAGATCATGATTTTTTACCTGTTTCGTGTAGGCCGATACCCTTTCCAGATATAAGCCAGTCATCAATTTATCGTCTCTGGTGACGGAGTTAAAGCAAATGGAAAAGACAGTATTGGAGGCCTTGGAGTATTTTAGCAGCACTCGGCACATCATTCTGTACTATGAAGATCTTGTAAAAAATCGAACTGTAAGTTGCTTCTTCAACATCAAAAGGAACCATTGACAAATAATTACGGAAAGTCATAATTTTGCTAATTTTTTTATTTTTTTTATAGTAGTTGCAAGGTTGAAGTTCCAATAGATTTCTGCACAACTTTGTCTACCATTATTGTGAAATTTTAACAACAAAAAGGAATAAAACTAAGCCTCTGATTTGGCAAAATTTATAAACTATTTATAAATGGTCAAACTTTCATTTTCAATCACACATTCGAGTAGACCCATATGTATTATTCATTTATCACCACTCATTTCTATCTATTAATGAAGTAAACTGTCTATAAATTCTTTCCAAATGAAGGCTAAGTCTTGTTATCTATAAATTTAAGGCCGGCTACATGAATTCTTTTTCTTCAGACCGTTCATTTTATTGCTAGATCTACCGAAATATCCAAAGTAACCAGATCGGACACCCCAATGAAATGTGTACTATGATTAATGTCCTAAGATTTTACAAAATTTTATGTTGGCAATAGCATACCGCGACCCTCGTCCTTTACCGGGCTTGGGATAGGCAATGAAAACATAGGCAGAGTTATCAAATTTTACTAGTTCATAAATAATTTTAAATTCTTGCTTACATTTTTACGATCATTTTTGACTTTGCTTGGATATCTTTTTTCTGCATGTCAAAATTATTATAACTTTTCATATATAGTTATAAGATTTGATTACCCGCAATGCTTTAGTCCCCGTGTTGTGAAAGTTTACAGTCCCGTGCCTCATTGCATTCACTTATGTTGCAGAAATTGGTTGATGTTCAAGACTTCTTAAGGCTGCCACAAATTGAGTTAACAAGTCGCCAAGTTAAAATACACAAAGGACCATTGTCAGAGCACATCAAGAACTGGGACGACATCAACAAGGCACTCAGAGGAACAATGTATGAGAAATTCCTCCATTATAACGACTATTAATTAGAGTCCGCTAATCTGTTTGAGGGCGTGAGCATAGTATTTCAATTTACTAAGAAGCTGACCGTATTAGGTGCACTAATTCATCCAGGTGAGATCAGTGGGGGTTGATCTTCACCATATGTTAGTCTTCACCCCGACATGCCCCCCCCCCCCCCCCCCAAACTTATTTT